GTTAGTGTTAGCAGCGACATCAAACTTGTGCCCTAGCGCGTGCGTCTTGGTGTACGGACCACGTCTTTCGACAGTCAGTACTGCACAAACATTGGACTTGGAACGTTGTCTTTGACGATTAGTGCTATCCCTATTGCGGTGGGCGCACGAAACTCTGTCTCTGACAGACAGTACTGCCCTATGAGGCCGCCTACATTGCCATTAGCCGTCTACAAAATTGACCTTGATGTCCTTATCATTAATGATTTTCATTTAATTAGTTCAATTTCCATTTTTTTACTTTATTTAAATTACTGGGTTACGATTGATGATTATTTAATAATAACAAATTCCTGCATGCTATACCTCGGTTACATTCCTGATGTCCGAGTCGTAACCCGACATATTTATAAATTGTTCCAGCGTGACGCCAAAGCGCAGACACCCTAGTGTTGAGACACTCGGGTGTCAGTGACAGACAGCCGCGAGTCAAGTATATTGACAGTAATTTGATGCTTTGTGTAATGGACGGTCGGACTATGTCAACGAACGTGGTTCGGAAATCAATTCTTGGATTTGGTAGTTTTTTTTTGTAAATGAGACGAGAGCTCGTGATCTAACGGACAAGACGCCCGGTTGGTCGCATAGTTTGCGGTAACATACCGTTTTTGCAGGAATTTCTTACTGCTGGTAGGACCTTTTCTGAGTCCGCACGGGTAGGTACAGCCACCCTACTTATTTCTGCCATGAAGCAGTAGTGCGTTTCGGTTTGAAGGGTCAGCCGTTGTAACTATACTGAGACCTTAGAACTTACATCTCAAGGTGAGTGGCGCATTTACGTTGTAGATGTCTATGGGCTCCAGTAACCACATAACACCAGGTGGGCTGTGAGCTCGTATCGAATTAGAACAATTAGTATCTGTCTGCGTGATTTGGATATCGGCAAATTCGCATGGCCCAATACGAGTACACCGGATGTCTTATTATCCACGACAACTCCTATGTCTATGGGATATGTATTTCTAAGGTACTGCACTATACTACTGGATTGTAGTAATGCTTTCTTCATTCGCAAAGCAATTACTCTTGAGCTGTTAAGTCTGCTTCGGAGGCGCTCGGGCAGTTGTCAGCAAATCCCACCCCTCCTGGCTGAACATTTGCTCGCCCACCTGTCCTACTGAAACTGAAAAGGCCTTCGGGCCACCAGTAATCTTTCAATCATAATTTAAAAAAAAAGGTTTCTAGTGCTTTAAAATAGTATAGCTCAGCGTTGTAGTGGTAGTTTTTTAGAGCTGTCTAGTACATTTTATACTTCATGAAATTATTATAAACTAGCTGAACCGGCAGACTTCGTAGTGCCTCAATCGATAAATAAAAGACCTAAACTTTTGTATAAAATAAACTTAAAACAAACAAAAGGAATCCGTCCGATGGGGGACACATCAAAGGAAAAACAAAATTGTAATTTTTATTTAATTCCGAGCATTTTCATATTTATCTGGACTTCCACAAATAATTCAAGACCAAAATTAGCCAAATCGGCCCAGCCGCTCTCGAGTTTTAGCGAGACAAACGAATAGCAATTCATTTTTATATATAACTATATAGATTATTGATTGCGTGAAGCGCTGAACTTGTGTGCCACGGCGTTAAAACACACGTTCTTGTATTGAAACTAAAAACTACCATTGAAGTCAATTAAACTCAATTCGAGATAGTCAAAACAATCTCGCTCATCTTTACAATCCCTTCTTAGAATTAATTTAACGAAAAACCCTTCGACAAAACAGACAATGCGTTTCGACAAGTCATTCACAAAAACACTAACTTCAACTTTGGGTTGTGTTTTTTGTGTGAAGAGCACGTGGCGCACCGGCTACAACCGTTTGGACCACGGGATCCTTGAGTTGAATCTTTAAAAATAGCTATGGCCTGAGGGACCCATAATCAGTTTGATAATCAAAATGAGGATTCGATAATAGCTTTTTTTTTTATTGCCCTTGTAGGCAGACGAGCATACGGCCCACCTGATGGTGAGTGGTTACCGTCGCCCATGGACTTCAGCAATGCCAGGGGCAGAGCCAAGCCGCTGCCTACCGCTTAATACTCTCCACAAGCCTCGTTTGAAGAAGGACATGTCATAGCGCTCGGGAAACACCGTGAAGGGGAGCTCATTCCATAGCCGGATGGTACGTGGCAAAAAAGACCTCTGGAAACGCACTGTGGATGACCGCAGTGGCTTCAGGTAGTATGGATGAACTCTACTCCGGTGGCGGGCGCTGCGATGGTAAAAACGAGATGCCGGTATCATCTCAACAATTCCTCAGAGCACTCCGCCTATTCTAGCACTATTCCGCCTACATCAAAGTCTGTCGTATATTTGTTGCACTATCCTGTTATATTTACCTGTAACTTTAAATTTACCAATAAATAAACCAAATTACTGTTTTATCTCTTTGACACTTTAGTCCACTGTTGGACGAAGGCCGCTCCTTAGGATCCCAATCCTGGGCCTCTCACTTCCATCTTGCCCAATATTCTGCGTATATATTGTATTTTATCTACAAACTACTTAACGTATGGATTAAAATTATAGTTAATATATTCCTTCTGAATATTTTACGGCTTGGTAACGAGACCTTTAAGCCAAGTCTTATTTTTTTTTATATGAAAAATGACATGAAGCGAAATGAGATGAAGTTGATTAATTTGAAACTTTAAATCAATCGGGATGAAATTAAATCAAACAAGATGAGATGGCTTCTAATAAAATTAACCTATCTATTTTAATCCGGATTAATGACATGCTCTCGTGAACTGCCAAACCTTCTCGTGGTCCAGAAACCCATGTAGGTACTTAAGTTTACTGAAACGTCCTATTACCATTACGCATTTTTTTGACACAAATTCCTTCGCTATGTGGATGTCATTCGTGAGTATGTATTCAGTATTTCATTAACTGAACTAAGACCGCGGCACGTTCCAAGAAGAGAAGGGTTTCGATAAATGCCGATCCTTCACGATCGATCTAAGTACACCATAACGGTGGACAGCTTTAACCAGGGTTGGGCTAAGCGGTTTCCGGATTATTATTTACATTTCTTTATTACTCTGGATGGGTGAATTTGCTTAAAAACAGAACAACGTAGGCCCCATCACCGGCACTAATAATACAAATTTATCAACATTAAATTATTAGCGTAGGTACCACCACTCTGCATATTTCAGCTGTTAAACAGTAATGCGTTTCGGTTTGAAGGACGGGGCAGCCGTTGTACTGTTAAAAGTGAGACCTTACAACTCATGTCTCAAAGTGGGTGGCGACATTTACATTGTAGATGTCTATGGGCTTCGGTAACCACTTAACATCAGGAGGGTCGAGAGCTCGTTCACCCATCTAAGCAATAAAAAAATTGCTTAGAAAAGAAAAATATTATAAAGTAATTCTTCGCCACCTTTTTAAGGCATTGACCAGGCCAGCTGAAATTGACTAATTTAGAAGATCAAACGAACTGTAATTTTAATACTATTGAGATTTCGACCTCATACCTCGATGTCTCAATCGTTGCCATTGTGATTACAATACCTAATCTTCCGCTTGTAAATAAATATCCAAATGGAGCGAACAGAGTCTAGTCTAGTTTCCCTAAAGACATCGAGATATTATGTACCCTAAAGAATGATTGATCAATTTATTTTAAGAGCTGCTTAAATTAATGACTTATCATTACTAACAATAGTTTCACTATAAACACTTACACACGTGTAGTGTTTGGTAGGTGCTTGAACTCTTGTTACTATAATCAAACTTCACTATTAATAACAATCGTAATTTATTCTTGATCCTGTACAAATTCTTATACGAATATTTACGAATTCTTAAAAATTATATATGGGTCGAAGAATTTCTGTTCTTTAGATTTACTAATTTTATCTGTTGGTTATGATTTAATAAAAAAATGTGTCGTATAGTTAGAATGCCTGTAATTAATTCATTTGTATAAACATGTTTTTTTTTTATATTTTTGTTGTTTTATAATATGTTGTTTTATATTTGAATGAGCTCACGGCCTGCTTGATATTAAACGGTTATCATAGCCCTTATATACCCATCGTTAATGCGACGACCGGTTCACGATCAGCATGATGCTATGTAGTTAATAAGAAATACCGAAATCTCAATAGGACCCATCAGAATGTATGTCTTAGCGGCAGACGTAGATAAGAAGATGACCCGCATAAGCGTACAATATGTCTTACCAGTAACAAAGATATGTTCACGAAAGGAATTTGGTTTAAGGAACACTATTAACAGACATTTTTCCAATGTTAATGAATATTCGCTATGTTTTAGGTTAAAATGTCTTAAAATCAAATGTACGTAAATTTTTGTTGGGAATGAAAAAACATGAGTGTACGAGGAGAGTATCTTACTACTTCCATGACGCAGTAATGTCCCCTAATTCCGATATTAAATACTGCTATTATATTGTAAACCCGCGCGGATGGGTATCCGTATCATTCCTGTGAATCTCTGCCACAAAGCAGTCCTGCGTTGCGGTTTAAAGGGATAGGGCAGCTACGGTACTGATGTAATATGGAAGGTATATCTCATGTCTCAATGTCTTATGTAATAAAAATCAAACCCACAAAATTATAATTTACGTAATTACTGGTGGTGGGACGTCTTGCAAGTCCGCACGGGTAGGTACCACCACTCTGCCTATTTCAGCCGTGAAACAGTAATGCGTTTCGGTTTGAACGGCGGGGCAGCCGTAGTTATGGTAGGCAGCGGCTTGGCTCTGCCCCTGGCATTGCTGACGTCCATGAGCGACGGTGACCACTCAGGTGGGCCGTGAGCTCGTCCACCCAACTAAGCAATAAAAAAATATGGACTGCTGCTATCACGCCTGGTCTACGAGCACCGAAATACGCTTAAGTCCACAAGCTTTAGTTAAAAATAAATAAGCTATTCTATGTCCGGTTAAATAATGCTCGGAGAAGCCTTATTGTTAACTCACCGGGCTTGTTATGGCGCCTCCTGCCACCCACGGCAGTCGCCAGCAACACCACCCACAGCAGGTAACGCATCCTACTCCATCACCAGACAACAAAGCACGACACCACGATGTATATATATATATTTTTAAAACAAATTTAACTCACACTCACTTGTCAATACATATTTAATACGTTTTGAAACACTAGCTATTTAATTAAATTTAAAAAATCGATGTTCTTCTCGAGAACCAAAATAAAAACACTGTTTTAATTTTCTGTATATCAGTAACGTTTATTTTTAATTAAAAATGAAAAAAAAAAACATCACGGATAGTTCGTATTAATTATTGTAATATCGTATAACAGAACAAAAATAACACGCTAATAGCTGTTTTAAATTAGATTAGTATTTCAACAAAACTTTGTTATTTCACGTGAACATTAAAATCGCGCGAATTCAATGTTTTAAAGTGACATTTATAAGCACAACCGCTCCCCGCGACGGCCGACGCGTTACTGCCAGTTAACTGGTTACAGAGCTTGAGTTGAGCTTTTCAAAAGTTTGTAATTGGTTATAGTACTACCGAGGACTTGTCAAGCCGGTTACCTTTATTAAGCTTCATAAAAACTGGTCCAATTGTTGTGGTACTTTTCAAACGATAACATAAATATTTGTAATGTTTACAAAATAATCAAGACATTTAAATTAAATTCGTAATTTTACTTAATTCATGATTTTGTAAGCAAACTAAAGTTGGATATCATATTTTAGTTTAAAAAATAGTTAAAAAAAATTAAGCTTTATAAAGTTTGACACGTCGAAAAGCTCAACTTCAATATAGTTAACTAATAGTCTACTAGATGGCGTCCTGTGTTGTTACAAATAAAAATAGGTAATTTAGTTTAGCAATAGTTACTCCGCTCATCAGCAGATGGCGCTGAAAATAGAGAATGACTAACAAATTTCATGATCATCAATTTATTGAACCAAAATTATTTATTTAATTTCTTTAAATCTAGACGATATTTTCGAAGGCATTCAAATGATATATGTATATTAATACCTATTATTACATACCAAAGTTTCGAAAAGATTTTAAATACTCGTACACCAACTGAACTTTACACATTGATTTAGAAATGACATCAACTAAATTGATAAGTAGTAACGGGCAATGGTCTAAAAAGAGTTAAATTTACTACAATCCGTGGCCCCTTACTTTCGTGAAATGTTTAACAATGTCTACCAATGACAGCCATTGTTTTTAATATACCTATGTGGGTTCACTTCAATTTGTAGCTGTATGACAAAATGTACATATACTTATTACAAGACATTCATTAGTCTTCTTAAATATTTTTTATAGATACAGATGAAGAAGGTTAATAAATTTATTGAGAATCGAGTGACTTCACTATTTCATTGGTTAACTAGATTTAAATAGACACTTTCAATAATAAAGAGTTTGAAAGAGAACGCTCGAAGTCAGTCGAGTCTCGAGAGGGTACGAGAATAACACTCAATAACATACGAACAATAAGCCAAAAATGTTTAATGTTATATTGATAAATTTACATTGCGTTATTCGTTAACACCAAAGACTGGACAGCCACGAGACGCCTGGCGCGTCTCCACTAAACGAGTAAAAATTCACCTAAAAAAAACTGTCGCTAAATCAGGTAGGACATACATAGATAGAGCGGCGTCGGATAGATCGCGATCGCCGGCGGCTCGGGGGCCGGTACGGCGCCCCCGCCCTGCGGGCCCGGCCGGGCCGCGTGGTCACACGAACCACTCGTCCTTGTGCGCGAGCGCGCTCACCGCGCCGCCCGCGCCCGGAGGCGGCCCGGCCGCGCCACACTGTACCCGCGCGGGCCCGCAGGGAGCGCCCAGTTTCCCGGCAGCCGCGTGCCGACGCCCGGATCCGGCGCCGCGCCCGCCCCGCCGCCGTTACTCACGTTCATCTGTTGTACTGCAACAAACATCAAATACGTTACAGCCATCTCAGCATTACCTATTAGGTAGGTAGGGTAGGTACCACCACCCCGCCTATTTCTGCCGTGAAGCAGTAAGGCGTTTCGGCTTGAAGGGTGGGGCAGCTGATGTAACTATACTGAGGCCTTAGAACTTATATCTCAAAGTGGGTGGTTCATTTACGTTTTAGATGTCTATGGGTTCCAGTAACCACATAACACCAGGTGGGCTGTGAGCTCATCCACCCATCTAAGCAATAAAAAAACAAAAAAATGCAGCATTATGAGTTCACGCTGATCGTAGTGAGGTTTTAAATAACACTTCTATTCTGATTTGAAGAGCAAGTTGATTAATTTTTTTTTTTTGCTCAGATGTTTGGACGAGCTCACAACCCATCTGGTGTTAAGTGGCTACCGGAGCTCATAGACATCTAAAACGTAAATTCCGCCATCCCACCTTGAGATATAAGTTCTAAGGTCTCAGTATCGTTACAACGGCTGCCCCACCCTACAAAGCGAAACGCATTACTGCTTCACGGCAGAAATAGGCTGGGTGGTGGTGGCTGTGACGGGATTCGAACACCGGTGCATCGCTAAATACAAATGCACCAGACGTTTTATCCTTTAAGCCACGACGACTTAAAACGATCTCGTCTTTCAAGATATGTAACGGTTCTCGGGTTTGTTTCTGGTCTGTCTGAAGCTTAAGCTTCGCTATTGTTAGGCAGAACTGAGAGCTTCCGTAATTTAATATTAAGTGTAATGAATTGAAGGGTATTGTTGATTACGTTGGCAGTGTACTGGTATAACAACACTAACAATGTAGATGCGTGCGGCGGTTGGCAGCGCGGCGTCGGCAGAGACAGCAGCCGAGGGTCGCGGCGATCAGCGCCAGCAACAGCCCGGCCCCTCCCGCCACCACCAACCACGTGCTGCTCGAACCGCTACCGCCGCTCTCTGCCACGACAAAAGTTTTTGTAATATACATACACTCAGAAAAATTATAGGATTTTTTTTAAAAAAAAGATTGCTTATATATGTGGACAAACTCACAGCCCACCCTATGCTAAGTGGTTACTGGAGCCCATAGACATCTACAACGTAAATGCGTCACCCACCTTCAGCTATAAGTTCTAAGGTCTCAGTATGGTTACAACGGCTGCGCCACCTTTCAAACCGAAACGCTTTACTGCTTAACGGCAGAATTAGGGGCAGATTTCAGAAAATATTGGAAACGTATCAGGGATGGTCTTTCTCTTCTTGTCGTCCTAACGCAACACCTGCTAACGGAGCAGTCTGTGCTGCTATCATTTTCCTCCATACCAGGATGAGGTTGATTGCTCATCTACGTTATGCCCACATTAATTCAAATGGGATTTAAAAGCTATCAATGGCGGTAGGTATTAATTTAGCATGGCTATTTCTCTGACATTGGCAACGACAGGCGATGCCGCGATGGTACAATTTTCGATCGGTAGGCTGGTCCTTTTTCGACAGGACTAATATTATAATGACTTAATCCGGTCAACCGTTTCTATCAGATCGCTATTTTAAGCAAAATTATTCACATCGCCGACATCCGGTTAAACTATCGGCCCCGGAATATTAACCGGGTTCGCTCCCACGAACTCGTTCTCGGATTGTGTATAATTAAAATGGAAGCCCGACACATTATGATGTACTGACTGTATGAACACTGAACAACATTGACCGACAACCAGACCACGACAAAACTCTCGCTTGACTTAATATGAGCAAGTACTTATACTTAATTCATAATCAAGCAACTAGACAGCTTAAGTCACAGGCACATACAGTGACATACAAGGACATACAGCCAAGTATCAACGATGTTAGAGAGACCTAAATGTTTCTGTAACAAGATACTGGTATTTCGTTGCACAGGGTACCAATGCACTTTCTCCACTTCAGCAATCATTCCGTCTGCTTGGTTTTAATTACTCACTCGAACCCTCAGAAATGCTCCCAGTCACATAGGGACATGTGATCTAGGTCATAATTCTACACCCGCTCAAATCACAGCGCACGACTGCTCCGCTTGAGGTTTTGGAGTGACTATCCGCTAAAACGCTGTCAATGTCAAACGCTGTCAAAACGCCTCCTGTGTGCTTAGTGCTAGTTTTTTAACGTTCTCGATAGCGTAAAAGTTAACTCAAACGTTAAAAAACTCGCACTAAGCACATTAGTCGAGTCATCCCATCTCCGCCAAAACCTAATCCGTCACTCCATTGGTGTTCCGTGCAGCATACCTGGGCATAGAGCGACCGTGTCTTCATCTGAACCATCGGCGCAGTGGTCCACGCCGTCGCAGGTTAGATCTGCACTCACGCAGAACTCTCTCTGCTTGCACCTGAACTCCTTGCAGCCGTGCTCTGGAACAGTTTGCGGAAGAAATTACTAGAAATATATACGTATGATATTATGAGATGTGTGATCTGAATAATAAAAAAAAACATTTTGAAATTGACGTAAGCGGTAATGCAATGGAATAACGAGTGTCTTATCTTTAAAATCTGAACACATGAGTGATTTCTACAGAAACTGGCAGGACTTACTAGTACTACAGGCTCTACGAGCAATCAATAGTATACATAAATTTATAGTTGCCGACTTTTTTAATTTGTGGAAACGTTTTAACATATATATTTTGTTAACTATTGGAGGTAGGATATTTAACTACATTAAAGATCGGCAGCATTGTGATAGTCCGGTCATCGTTATCGTCCGATCCGGACTGCGACGAAGGGCTCGGCGAGTAAATTAAACCACAGACACATCGCACTGACTTTCTCGCCGGATCTTCTCAGTGGGTCGCATTTCCGATCCGGTGGTAGATCCTGCGAAGCACTGCTTTTGCTAGACAGTGTTAGCAACGTCGTCAGGTTTGAGCCCCGTGAGCTCACCTACTTGTTATGGTTTGAAATGGTCTCTCAAGACCATCAGCACAGGTAGAAAAAAAATTGTGGTAGCTAACCGTGTGGTCTTACAACACCAACCACCATACAACAACAATATCCAGAACTCAATCGATTTGTAATCTTTATTTACACAATCACTAGAGCAGGACCCATTAGGACGCGTCTTCAACCAGAGGATCTATTGTCAGGTTTAAAAAAATCCTTATCGTAATACTGAACTAATTATCGAATTTATCTCAAACTAATGAATCACCACACTTACTTACAACTATAACAAATGACACGTGAACTATTAATAATTATTTCATTTTTGAATGTACGAGTATATTATCAAATTGATTAATAATTACTAATTAATTGTTAAAAACACAAACAACAGATGTAAATTGTTGAGCCACAATAACAAAAAACATTTTCATGTCGATAACAAAATAAAATAAAACGAAAATTATTCGCATGACATAAATATTTTTTGTGAAACAGGCGCTCAATCACCCCAAAAATTACAATATCGACCCATTGCAGGACTTGCTCTGAATTTCCGTTCCATTTATGATAGCCCCAAGCTATTTTCACTTGTTATAGGCACCACAAAAATGTGTACCCGACAGAGTGAGTAGGTAGATAGCTCTTCAAACGAGGCTTTTGGAGAGTACTTAACGGTAGGCAGCGCCTTGGATGTGCCCCTAGCATTGCTGACGTCCATCGGCAACGGTAACCACTCAACATCAAACAACATCAAAATGGCCGTCTGGTGTAGTGGTAAGTGACATGGTCACTACACAAGGAGGTTGCTGGCTGGAATCCCGCCAAGGGAAGATATTTGTATGATAAATATAAAATGTTCAGTTAAAAACCTGGGTGTTATTATAGATCGACATCTTTCGTGGAGTTCTCACGTTGCTGAGATTAGTAGGAAGGTGCACTTCGCCTTGCACTCGTTGAGATGTCTGCAGGGCTTCTTACCTCAGCATACAAAAATATCTCTCGTCCAAGCTCTCATTCTACCCATAATTGATTACGCCGATGCCTGCTACTTGGATGCCACCGAGGAGCTCTCAAACAAGCTTGAGAGGATGCAAAATCTATGTATCCGTTTTATATACAATCTCAGAAAATTCGATCATGTTTCTCATTTTCGCAAAGAACTTAAATGGCTACCTATACGCCTTCGTAGGAATACTCGAATATTATGTCTCCTATTCAATATCCTACATAAACCCACTTCTCCCTTATATTTACGTGAGCGATTCTCTTTCATTCGTTCTCCTGATGCTCCCTGTAGGTCCAACCAACGTTCTGTTTTGTTATTCCCTTCCCACAAAACCAATTTCTATTCTCACTCCTTTACTGTGCACGCNACGTGAGCGATTCTCTTTCATTCGTTCTCCTGATGCTCCCTGTAGGTCCAACCAACGTTCTGTTTTGTTATTCCCTTCCCACAAAACCAATTTCTATTCTCACTCCTTTACTGTGCACGCGGTCAGACTGTGGAATTCGTTGCCGGCTGACATCCGAGTTTGCAAGTCTGTTTCTGTTTTTAAATACAAGGTCAAACAATTTTATCTGCCATCAACCGAATGATCATGGTTCCATACTCTTCGTATATACGAGTGTTACTGTGTTACTTATAATATTTTGTACTCAAGTTTAACAATATTTGGTGTGTGCATTACTATAATTCTCATGTTGTATTTGTTATTTTAGTTATGTGTTATTTGTTCTACACACACTTATCACTTTTTATTATTATTCTCATTATCCTCTCGCAGATCTGCTGGAAGAGATTTTTTAAAGAAATAAGCAGTGCCTTTGTACATAATTTTCCTATTACTCTGTACTATGTCTTTTTTTTTCTGTGTGTACATAAATAAATAAATAAATAAATAAAATGTATTTTCCAGGGTTATGGATGTATTTTAAATATATGTATGTGTACAATAAAAATCTACATTTATTTCCGTTATCTGGTACCTGTAACACAAGTTCTTTACGAATTTAGCACGGGACCAGTTAACGTGGCGTGATTGTTAATAAATATTTATTATTATTATTATAAAAAATAAACTTCAGATGGGCCATACGCTCGTCTGACTAAAAGGGCAATAAAAAATAAAAAGGTATCTCCCAGATCCCAAATTCCCAAAATTCATTTAACAAAGATATTGGATCCGATCAGATATTGAGCCCGAGCTGTGCCGTACCGAGAATTACAAGCCACTAGTCTAGACTAGTCTACAGTCTAGACCAATGAGGTCGTCGAATCTCTGAGGCTAGCTATTTCAATAGAACCTCGGTATTGAAACCGCATATATCAAAGTCCACCTTAATCGCCTAACATCAAGTTTTTCGTCTGTCCATATTTGAATTTTTACGTTTGATAATGCAGTCATGTCATAAAAACTACATATTAAGATTTATTTCTTTACTAACGGGCTCTCATTTCTTTCGCATTGTTTTATGAAAACTCCCCTTCCGAAGCACACATGAAAGTGGGTGTTAGGCGAAGCTTTTTGTTGCATTATTCAATAGCACGGTGAACGCTTAAAACGTGAAAGCTCTGCGGAGCTTCCCGTGATGAAAGGGGAGAATTTTTAAATTGGTCGCCGAGAAATTTTTTGAACGCCTCTAGAATTTTAATTAATAAACGGTACGAAATGTCTGCGCGAGTTTTGTCTAAGGAATTCGATGGCATCTTTAATAGATCGAAAACTCCGCTATCTTTGACAGCTTAAAAGCTCATTTCAGAGCAATTTGAATACCGGAGCTTCCCGCTGAGAGATTACTTAAATGTCATCTGGGTGCTCTTATCTTCTCGTGGAACAATGCGCCGAGTCCTTTTCTATTGATAAACAATAGAAATTTTATCAGCAAAATATACCTACTAAGTATTTAAGTCGTCTGACTATTGTACAATAAACCTTTATATGGCAAGTTGGTATTAACCCGGGTCCTTAAGCGCTACTGAAATAGCGTATTAAATAATTTCAAATAAATACTGAGCAATTTCCAGATAAATTCCCGCTTTTTTTAACTGGTGGTAGGACCTCTTATGAGTCCGCACAGGTAGGTACCACCGCCCCGCCTATTTCTGCCGTGAAGCAGTAATGCGTTTCGATTTGAAGGGTGGGGCAGCCGTTGTAACTATACTGAGACCTTAGAACTTATATCTCAAGGTGTGTGGCGCATTTACATTGTAGATGTCTATGGGTTCTAGTAACCACTTAACACCAGGTGGGCTGTGAGCTCGTCCACACAACTAGGCAATAAAAAAAAAAAATTCCATTAACAAAGTTGAGATAAAAAACAAATGAGCGGAAGTTTAGCGTATTTTTTATTTATTATATTTACTTTAGTAAATTTTATATTTTATCTTATAATACTACAATATTACAATATGTTTAGTGTTTTGAATTTATTTGAACAATTTATTTATTTGAATTTATTTACAGCTACGGTTTTAAGCTCTTAGCTAATAAATTTTAGACTCCAATCAATAGCTTTGATTATATAAATGCTATCGCTAATCAGTCTCACTGTTTGTTCCAACGACAAAACAACAGCAGTCAATATTGAGTTTTCATTCTTTCGTCATAGAGTATATTTTTTGTTGTCGAGCTACGGAGCAAGTTGGTTGTCAGAACAATCTATTGTGTTCAACTAAGGATTTCTTAACGCAGAACAAATTTTAAAGTTTAAATTGAGAAAGTTCCAGAACTACTATTTCAATGGCCCGTACCTACTTTCAGAAAACAATAAAGTAAACACGCTTCATACAAAAACGAACCATTGCGCCGACATAAACTATTTTATGGCGAATGTTAGTAAAATTAAGGTCACATCAACAGGTTCGCCCTGTGTCACGACACAAGGAATTTTAGCAATAAAACTAGGCAATGTTTCAAAGGGAAGAATGTGGGATTAAATATACACGGAATTAAACTTCGGAAGAGGGTTTTCAGGGCCTATGTATAGTACATATTTTTGATTCAAAAATTCTTTGTTTGTTACTATTCAGTGTTTGGTCTGTTTTGGTTTGATTGCCGTCGTTATTGTGTTTATTGTGACCTTAATTACATCGTCACACAAACAGCGTTTTTAGTCAAAAGCAAAATGTTAAGTAGTACACATTAGCCGGTCACATCTGTCGAGCCAGCGACGTCAGGTGGGGGAGGAAAGTCCTCGAATAGAGGCCACGGATGGGTACCAGGAGCGTCCTCCATGCAGGTGGACTGACGACTTAGTGCACACGGCGGGAAGTCGTTGAATGCGGAAGGCGGAAGACCGCATTATGTGGAAGGCATTGGGGAAGGCCTATGTCCAGCAGTGGGCAGATAAAGGCTGATGATAATGATGATGATGATGAAGTAGTACAACTTAGAAAAATGTTTTATTCTGAATTAAAACAAGATTTATTGCCACGTTTCCTCGACACCTTCCCATCGGAAACAAACCAGACCGATATTCACCAAAGTTTCGATAGCTAATCGCTTCAAACAACATTTTTCCATTAAACTTTTGACGTTCTTAAGTACTAGAATTTTCTTCTAAACGTTAATGGGAAATGTTTGGTTCTTTCTGTTATTATTTTTGTTGGATTTTTTGGAACACTGGGAACAACCGAATCATCGCTCTTAAATCTTGTGGCTCTTTCAATCCAGATCTGTCGTATTGCAATTTTTTTTTTTTTTTTTTTTTTTTTTTTTTCCTTTTT